AAGGCGTGCGCCACCACCGCCTGGCTAATGGTCATGTATTTTGTTTGGAAGGAGAAATGGCCAGATGTGCAAATGTTCACTGGTGCATGAGTTATAGCCAATGGATTGGCTGGGTGGTCAGGGACATGGAAAGAGCCCCTTTAGAAAATTGGTGAGAAAGACATCTGAGGAAGAAGTATTTGAATAGATTTCCAAATGGGCATGGGATGTGAAGATTCATGGGTTGTGTCCCATGTAAATGCTCATCAAAGGTGACTTCAGCAGAAGAGGAGTTCAGTAATCATGTAGATAGGATGACCTGTTCTGTGGACAGTTAGCCTCTCTCCCCAGCCATTCCTGCCATTGCCTCAAGGGCCCAGGAACAAAGTGGCCATGGTGGCAGAGATGGAGGTTATGCATGGGCTAGACAACATGGACTTCCAGTCACCAAGGCTGACCTGGTTATAGCTGCTGCTGAGTGCCAGGTCTGCCAACGGCAGAGACCAACACTGAGCCCCAGATATGACCCCATTCCCTGGAGTGACTAACCAGCAACCCGGTGGCAGGTTGACTATGTTGGACCACTTCCTCTGTGGAAAGAACAACTCTTTGTCCTTACTGGAGTAGTACTTATTCTGGTTATGGGTTTGCCTTTCCTGCAAGTAAGGCTTCTGCCAGAACCACCATCCTTACAGAATGTGAACTTACAGAATGCTTTATCCACCAACATGGTATTCCACACAGTATTGCTTCTGACCAGGGAACTTACTTCACAGCCACACAAATATGACAGTCGGTCCACGATCATGAAATCCCCTGGTCTTGCCATGTTCCCCACCATTTTGAAGCATCTGGCCTGAGAGAAAGATGGAATGTCCTTTTGAAGACACAGTTACAGCATCAATTAGGTTGCAGCAGCTGGAAGGCAGGAACAGGGTTGTCCAGAAGGCAGTATATGATTTGAATCAGCGTTCAACAGATGGTGTGGTTTCTCCCATAGGCAGGACCCAAGGGCTCAGGAATCAAGGCGTAGAAAGGAAATAGTTCCATTCGCCATCACCCCTAGTGACCCACTAGGAAAGTTTTTGCTTCCTGTTCCAGCAACCTTAAGTTCTGTTGGTCTAAAAGTTTGGTTCCAGAGCGGGGAGTGCTCCTGCTAGGAGCCACAACAAACATCCCATTGACCTGGAAGCTCAGATTCCCGCCCCCCTGGTCATTTTGTTGGGCTTCTAATGCCCTTAAACTAACAGGCTAAGAAAGGAATAGCAATGTTAGGAGGGGTGACTGATCCCGATTACCATTGGGATAGTGGATTATGTCTGGAGTGCAGGAGACCCTTTAGGGCATCTCTTGGTGCCACCATGTCCTGTGGTTAAAGCTATGGGAAACTACAACAGCCTGATCCAGGCAGGATGGCAAAGGGCACAGGCCCATCAGGAATGAAGGTACGGGTCACTCCTCCAGGAAAAGAGCCAAGACCTGCTGAGGCTCTTGCCATGGATGGAGGAAATACAGAATGGGTCATAGAGGAAGGTAAAGCTAAATATCATCTAAGGCCACGTGATGAGTTATAGAAAGGATTATAGTTGACATGAGTTGACATATTTCCTGAATTTTTTTACCATGTAATATAACCATAATTAAGAGAGTTTCAGTGATTATCATATTTACATTTAAGATACTAAAAGAATGGCCCTCAAGGGACATTGCTACCCATTCTAAAACATATAATGCTTTTTGCTATTGTATAAGGGATAGTTGTATCATGTTAGGTATAATTATGACCTGGTTATTGTTTTCACTGGAAATTAAGCATGACATAAGGAGATATGATTGTGTGTCAAGTTGACAGGGATGACTGGTCATAACTATTCTTGGTTACATCTTTACTACATCTAGAATTAACTCAAACCCAAGTGACTGTGAAGGATTTCTTTGTTTTTAAGACAGGGTTTCTCCGTGTAACTCTGGCTGCCCTGGAACTCACTCTAGAGACCAGGCTGGACTCAAGCTCAGAGATCCATCTTCCTCTGCCTTCCTAGCACTAGTAATAATTGTAGGCAGGTTTTTTTGTCAAGACCTGGCTCCCAAATAACCACATAGAGACTTAATGTTAATTATAAATGCTCGGCCAATAGCTCGGGCTTGTTACTAGCTAACTCTTACATTTTAAATTAACCTATATTTCATATCTACCCTGTGCTACATGGATGTAACTTTCTTTCAACATGGCATGTTTATCTTGTTTCTTTCTGCTCTCTTGAAATTCCTCTGACTCTGCCCTTCTTCTTCCCAGCATTCTCTCTGCCTCAAAAATCCTGTGTAGCCATCAGCTTTTTTATTAACAATGAGAGCAATACATATTCATATTGTACAAAAAGATTACTCCCCATACCTGACCGTATTCCTAATCTTAACATGGACCCGTTTGTTTAAACTTCAGGACCAGGGCTGGTGAGATGGCCCAGTGGGCGAAAGGGATTGCCGTGTAAGTCCAATGACCTGAGGTCAACCTCTTGGAACCTCCCATGTAAGTAAAGAACCAGCTTCCTCAAGGTGTTCGACCTCTACACGTGCACCCTGGCACATGCATGCCCACACACATACACAGGTGCCATGTGGGTGCTGGGAACTGAACCCAGGTCCTCTGCAAGAGCAATAAGTGCTCTTAACCATTGAGATATTTTTTCCAGCCCATGCCTGTTTTCTTTTTTAATGTGGGTAAAAGGGCACATCTAAATTTCTGGAATTCAGTTGTCCATCTCCCAGTTACTGTTCTCTACTGGATTGAGTAGCAAATCTGGGCTTCCTCATGTTTCCTACCAGGCAGAGCCTCTTTTGCTGAGCTTCGTGGCCCTAGCCTACTAACTGGCACTAACCTACTCAGAGTAGGCCCTAGCCTACTCTGGCACTAACCCAGAATGTCCCTTTTGAATTCGAGGAAGGGGAGGGAGTGTGTGATGGGGCAGCGGTACCTGAATCTGGAAGGTGAGGATTTGGTTCCATACTGGGCTGTCATTCTGGGCCTGTGGATGTGTCCTGAGCTGAGAACATCCTGAGGCTCAGTCAGTGCCAGTTGAGATAGGGATTTTTTTTCTTTTCTTTTGATTTTTCAAGATAGGGTTTCTCTGTGTAGCCCTAGCTGTTCTAGAACTAGCTCGGTAGACCATGCTGGCCTTGAACTCACAGAGATCCACCTGCCTCTGCCTCCCGAGTGCTGGGATGCACCACCACTGCCCAGCACAGGGAATTTTTTCTTAATTAAATCATTTGAAGTGGGAAGACCTACTTTTAATCTGGCTCTTTTGAGGTGAGAAGGTCCACCTTTAATCTGAGCCACCCCTTCTCCGGGCAGCCTACATAAAGGACATGGAAGAAGGAAGCTCGCTCTCTTTGCCTGCTTGCTCTCACTCTTGCTAGCAAGTCCATTGCTTCACTGGCCTTAGCACCTCCATCTTCCAGTTTCTGAATATACGGCATATACTGAAGACCAGCTGAGAGTCATCTTCATGGACTGAATAGCTGCTAGAATCTTGGACCTTCTGTTGATAGACAGCCGTTGTCGGGCTAGCTGGACCACAGCCTGTAAGCTGTTCTAATAAATCCCATATATATGTGAATATACATACATATATATATATATATGCATTCTATAAGTTTTATTCCTCTAGAGAACCCTGCCTAATACAGCTACCTGGGTCCACATGGTGGAAGGAGAGACTCCTCCAAGTTGTTCTGTCACTGTACTTGTGCGCGCGCACGCTAATTTTCAGTTCCAAAGTTCACTGATTTTGTTGTGTTCTCACTTGAGTGTGCTCCTCTGGGTGTAATTGAACATTAATTTCAATGGACTTGTGCACCTGTGCACTGTGTGTAGTACATTGCATGTTAGAGAACAATGGCCCTAACTTTCTGGGAATCCTTTTGGTGTCTGAGTGACTCAAGAGAACTAGCTCATCAATGTGGTCAAGACACACAAGCCTCTTTGTGCGGGTGAAGAGGGGCTGGGGTGGCATGTCATTTTCGCAGTCAGTGGTGACACATTTTCTCCTCTGATCCACATTTGGGATCACCTCCCCACCCCCACCCCCACTAGTTCCGGGGGTGGAGCACTGCTGGACTTGCAAAACCAGAGTCTGCCTGCCTCTGGGTGAGCCTGAGGAGCAGCCAGAATGGGAGCAGCAAAACCAGGGTGGACAGAACAAAGGCTGCTATTATGTTGCCTAAACTTGGTGGCTCTGCACTGTCAGGAGGACACAGAGAGCACTTGTGCTCAGAAAAGAAACCGTCTAAAAAGGAGACAATGCCCTCCCTCCCCGCCGCATGCGGTCCCTGCCACATGGAATTCTTCTCATCCCCACATCAGCAGTTTCTTTTTATGTTTGATTTATCATCTCAGTAGATGTTCGCTCGTCTTCAGCAGATGTTAAAGACACATTTGCTACTTTCAAATCCTCAGATAAAATAAACTATCTTTTTAAAGAGATGTTTTAGGACTTCTTTCCCGCACTTATGAGTCCTCAAGAGGCATGATCACTCACAGGGGGTTTTCCCAGAAGCTTTCTCTCTTTCCTCCTTGCCTCTCTGTCAGCAGATCAACATGGGACATTTTAAAATAAATATTTTTATGTGTATGGATAGTTTACCTACATGTACATCAATGTACCACATGCATGCAGTGCCCTTGGCAACCAGAGGAGGGCGTCAGATCCCCTACAACTGTAGTTACAGGTAGCCATGTGCCATCATGTGGGTGCTGGGAACTGAACCCCATTTCTCTGCAAGATCAGAAAGTGCTCTTAACCACTGAGCCATCTCTCCAGCCCTAATGTGAGTAACTTTTGTTTGACATGTCTTCCCATCACTGGGCTCCTTTGTCCTTTGTTCAGCAGCAACAGTGATGTGGAATTTTGCTTTCTGGGTTTCTCCTCCTTCCTCCTCCATTTTCCTCCCTCACTATGTTGCCAAGGATAACCTGAAACTTGTTGAATAAAGTCTGCCGCAGATGGTAACAAGGGCAAATATCATTTTGTGCCCCAAGGCTATGCATATATTTGCCCTGCAGAGCTTCCCCCAAGGTGTGTGTGGCTCACACACCATACCCTACCTGCTCAGAATGTGTAGTCAATGGAATTATGCTGCCTTTCCCTCGGTTTTTGAGCATTTTCATCACTGCCAAAAAAAAAGTACATGGATGTCTTTGCCACCACACCCATCCTCCTCCTCTCTCCCAACTGGAGACAGTTACTCATCTGCTTTCTGTTCTGTGGATTGGCCTATTCTGGACATTTCATTCATGCAATCTGTAGACTTTTATGAATGGGCTCTTTCACAGGTTCATCCGTGTTATAGCATTTGTCTGTGTTTCATTCCTTTTTTATTGCTGAACAATATTTCTTTATGTGGCCAATACCACATTCTGTTTATCCATTCAGACACTGATGGGCATTTGGGCTGTTTCTACTTTTAGCTGTTATGAATAATGCTGCCAAGGCCTTGTACGGTTCATTCATGGAGAACCCCTCCCCCCCATGTACTTCAGGATTATGTGCATTCAGCTGACACAAGATGGGAGTGTTTGCTAGATCCAGTTGCTCTGTAGTGTTGTTCAGATCCCATATTTTCCTTTAAAATGCTTTAACTATGTATGTATGAGTTTTCTGTAGCTGTGATAAGACACCACAGCCAAGGGAATTTAATGGAAGAAAAAGTTGATTTGAGATTACAGTTTCAGAGAGTTAAGAGTCAATCATGGCCAGGCATGGCCTTTAATCTCAGCACTCAGGAGGTAGAGGCAGGTGGATCTGTTCGAGGCCAGCTTGGTCCATCTAGCAAGTTCCATGACAGCTAGAGCTACATATAGAGAGACCCCATCTCAAAAGAAAGAAAGAAAAAGGAAGGAAGGAAGAAAAGAAAGAAAGAAAGGAAGGAAGGAAGGAAGGAAGGAAGGAAGGAAGGAAGGAAGGAAGGAAGGAAGGAAGGGAGAGAAAGAGGAGTTTATGGTGGTTGGGAAACATGGTAGCAGTCCTAGTGACCAGAGCAGGAAGCTGAGAGGTCACATCTGTTGTGGAAGCGAACTGTAAGTAGAAGGCTGTACACTCTCAGAGTCTGTTTCCAGGGCGTATCTCCTCCAGCAAGGCTAGACCTCCTAAACAACAGCATCAGCTGGGGACCGAGTGTGCAAGTCTGAGCCATGAGGGATGCTTCTCATTCAAATCCCTACAGTGTGTGTGTGTGTGTGTGTGTGTGTGTGTGTGTGTGTGTGTGCGCACGCGCGCGCGCTTGTGAGTCTGTGTACATGTGAGTGCAGGGCCCTGCCCAGAGTCCATAGGAGGGTGTTGGATCCCCTGTACTGGAGTTACAGGCAGTTGTGAGATACCCGGTATGAGTCATGCTGGAAACCAGACTTGGTGGGGTATCTGTCTCTCTGTCTGTGTCTCATTTGGTCATTTGATTTTTTTTGAGACAAGGTCTTACTCTTGTCCCAGGCTGGCCTGGAACTCACTGTCTAGTCCCAGCTGACCTCAAACTCACCAAATTCCTGCTTTAACCTCCTGGATGCTGACATTATAGACATGACAGCTCTCTAGCCCTTTATTCTTTTGATGTTCTGTCTAGTTTATTTTCCTTTTCTTTTTGTGGTTTTCTTTCTTTTGTGCTGCTGGGCATGGACTCCAGGGCCTCTCTCGTGCTAAGCAAATGCTCTACCATAGAACTACAACACAGCTGTTAAGTGTATTATATGAAAGCCTCCACCTACCATTGCCTCTCTTTTCTTCCTTCATATATTCTAGGGCTCTGTTTTTAAATACGTATAATTAATATTTATAGTTGTTATAGATTCCTTAATTAATTTTAGCTGACAAAAACTGTGTATTCATCACATACAGTCTGTCACTTTGAATGACTCCATTATGTAGTGGCTACAAATGATAACTAACTGAAGTATTGTTTTACACTCCTGGATAGCTTCAGCTATCAATGTGACATCAACTAGAGTTATCTGGGGAGGGGGAGGTCCTCCATCAGACTGGCCTATGGGCATGTCTGTAGGGCAGGTGGTCTGAGGAGGATAAGAAAGCTAGCTGAGCAGAAGCTAGGGAGCAAGCCAGCGAGCAGTGTTCCTCTGGTTTCTGCTTCCGTTCCTGCCCTGACTTCCTTTAATGATAGATTGGGACTTGGAGATGAAAGTTGAAACAAATCCTTTCCTCCTCAAGTTACTTTTGGTCCCTGGCAGCCTGTTTTGTTTTGTTTTGTTTTGTTTAATTTATTTATTATGTCTACAGAGTTCTGCCTACATGCGTACTTGCAGGCCAGAAGAGGGCACCAGATCTCATTACAGATGGTTGTGAGCCACCATGTGAGTGCTGGGAATTGAACTCAGGACCTCTGGAAGAACAGCCAGTGCTCTTAACCGCTGAGCCATCTCTCCAGCCCCTTGTTGTTGTTTTAATGTGACACAAGCTACAGTCACCTGAGAAGAGGGAACCTCAAGTGCCTCCATGGGGCTATAGCCTGTAGGTATTCTCT